CCCCCCCCCCCCGAAGATACCTGCCAAGAAAAGCCCATGGTATTGGAATGGATCTATAGGTATATATGAAATATTTTCAAGCTGTGGGTAGTTGGATCCGTGGATAAAGACCCCGTGGGATATTTGACAGAACAAAGGGGAGAACAACGTGCATCCTCCCAGCTGCTCTAGGACTGCAGCTCCCATCAGCCCCCAGCCCTCAGAACTCATGATAAGTTTTAAGGGGCCTTTGTTGTTGTTGTTGTTGTGTACCTTCAAGTTGTTTCCGACTTATGGCGACCCTAAGGTGAGCGTATGGTGGGCTTTTCTTGGCCAGATTTGTTCAGAAGGGGTTTGCCCTGGCCATCTCCTGAGGCTGAGAGAGTGTGACTTCCCAAGGTCACCCATTGGGTTTTCATGGCTGAGCTGGGATTCGAACCCTGGTCTCTAAGAGTCCTTAGAAGACAAAAACTCAAGATTGTTACGCATATCTCTGGGCCTGGCCAGGCTGGGAAAAGAAAGAAGCCAGGAAGATTGCTATACTGGCCTAAGAGAGAGCCAGGATGTGATGTAGTGATTCCTGTATTGGGTGCATCTTGCGTCCGCACTGCAGAAATAATCCGGCCTGACACCGCTTTAACTGCCGTGGCTCCATGCTATGGAATTCAAGTGCCCCAACTCTGGTGCCTCAACAAACTACCCTTCCCAGAAATCCATAGCAAGGAGCCATGGCAGTTAAAACAGTGTCAAACCGGATTATTTCTGCAGTAAAGATGGAGCATTGTGGAAATAATCCGGGTTGATCTCACTTTGAAGTGCCAGGGCTCCATGCTATGTAATTTTGAGAATTGTAGAGCCAGCATGGCGTAGTGGTTTGAGCATTGGGTTACGACTCTGGAGACCAGGGTTCGATTCCCTACTAGGCCATAAAACCCACAGGGTGACCTTGGGCAAGTCACACTCTCTCAGCCTCAGAGGAAGGCAAGGGCAAGCCTCCTCTGAACAAACCTTGCTAACAAAGCCCCATGATTGGGTCTCCATACTTGACGTTTTGTGAAGTGTTTAGCCTTCTCTGTCAAAGAGCTCTGGTGCCGGGCCAAACTACAGATCCCAAGACACCAGAGCATGGAGCCATGGCAGTTCAAGCGGAGTCAAACTGGATTAATTCTGCAGTGCGGACGTAGCCAAAGCTACAAGTCGTGCCGTGTTGTTCCTCTGGGACTCAGAAGATGACACTCCATCTGCCTGACCTTGGGGGACCCACGTGACCATCAGTCCCTGAAGTGACGTCACACCCCCTCTCAGGCCCATGACGTAAGAGCCCAGGAATGTGGGCGGGGCCAGTGCCTGCCAATCAGGAGCGGAGGGTCCCCTCTTTACCAGCCTTAGTGCAACGCTTTCGGCAGCGTGAGTGGAGCTTTACGTAACTCTATAGAGGCAGCGTGGCGTAGTGGTTTGTGTCTTGGACTACGACTCTGGAGACTTGGGTTCGAATCCTGGCTGGGCCATGGAAACCCACTGGGTGACCTTGGGCAAGTCACACTCTCTCAGCCTCTGAAGAAGGCAGTGGCAAAGCCCCTCTAAAAGAAACCTGCCCAAGAAAACCCCATTAAATCGGAAACGACTTGAAGGCACACGGCAACAATGAACTGTCCTTAGAGACCGTATGGACCTCGTCTTAGGAGGCCAGGGTTCGGTTCTCAGCTCGGCCATGACTGCCACCTGGTGACCTTGGGCAAGTCACACACTCTCAGCCTCAGAGGAAGGCAATGGCAAACCCTCTCTGAAGAAACGTGCCCAAGAAAACCCCCAGGAAACGACTTGAAGGCACGCAACCAAGAGCAAGTGAAGGGTTTGGAGTCTAAAACCCACTGCAGAAATAATCCAGTTTGAGACCGCTTTAACGGCCCTGGCTCAATGCTAGGGAATCCTGGGAACTGAAGTTGATTGTGACACACCAGAGCTCTCTGTCAGAGAAGGCTACATGTCTTACAAAACTACCGTTCCCAGAATTCCCTAGCATTGAGGCAGGGCAGCCAAAGCGGGGTCAAACTGGATTGTTTCTTCAGGGTGTTTTGGACCCAGGTTACTCCAAAGGGAGGCTGCATTCGCATGTGTCTGTCTCAGCATTGGAGACAGACACATATAGTAGATATAGTACTATAGTATTATATAGAACGATAGATCTACAAACGTCAGTTCCCAAAATGCCATAGCATTGAGCCAGGGCAGTTAAAGCGGTGTCAAACAGGTTTATTTCTACAGTGTGGATGCAACCCAGCACTCTCCACCCTATCCCTCCTGCTAAAGTCCCTTTTTCAAAAAGGAAAGAAAATAAGTACTGTATATCAAAATCCCACAATAGAAAGGGAAGAAAATGAAAATCAAGGGAAGTGAAGCTCCAACACCTCCAAATCGAATCAGACCTTAGCGGGAGAGGATGCGAAGGAACAATGTCCTTTTTGTGTCTTCTCTGCCTCCTGAGTCTAAGAAAAAAGACTTTGCCTAACAGTCTCTGCACAACAGGAGCAAAGAAAGGGAGGAGTGTAGAAAGGTCGGGCAAGATCCAAGCAAAGATCAGGCAACAGCAAGCTTCAAATCCCATTGATTTCCATGGGGAAGAGGCTGGTTGAAAGAGTTCTCCTGGGACTGCAAGTCCCAGAATCCTCCAACCAGCATGGGATCCTGAGAGTGGCGGTCCCAAGTAAAGGGAAATGCCTCAATCTCTGCGATCTATCAAAGCCATGTTATTTGAGGGCTGGACTAGGACTTTGGGAAACCAGGGTTCAAATCCCCGCTCAGCCATGAAACCATTGGGTGACCTTGGGCAAGTCACACTCTCTCAACCTCAGGGGAAGGCGATGATGGCGAATCTCCTTGGGATAAATCTCACCAAGATCACCCTAGGTTAGAGTCGCCAAAACTCGTGGGCCACGTAATAACAACTGTGACCTGGACCGTGTGCCTTTTGCAAACAAACAACTCAGAAATAGTGATGAACTGATATTATATTACAGCAGATTAGCATGGGCTCTTCGGGGTCTAGCTGATAAATTGCTGAACCTGAGTCACTTTCAAACATCTCTCTGGAGAAGCTCGATTCTGCCTTCTATGAAATGGGTGGCAGCAGAGCTGACTCCAGATATTTTGCTGCCTGAGGCAAAAAGCACATCACTCCTTGCCTTTTCCTGGTGCAAAATCCAGCTGGCTTTTTTTTTAAGTTCTGGAAATGGGACATCATTTACAGCATTTGAAAGAAGCAGATTGGAACAGGGTTTGTGGCACTCAAAAACTCTTCCCTGCAATACTTTGCGGCCATTTCTGTGCCTTTGCTGACTGAGGTCTCATCTGCACTGCAGAAATAATGCAGTTTGACCCTGCTACTTTAGTTTGTTGTGGCGCCAGAGATCTCTGACAGAGAAGGCTAAAGATCTCACAACACTACAAATCCCAGAATTCCATAGCATTGAGCCCTGGCTGTTAACGCGGTGTCAAACTGTAATTATTTTGTCAGATATACAGCAAATACAGTCAAACTATTGTCTTGTTGTTGTGTGCCTCCAAACGACTACACCACGCTGGCTCTCTGCAAACCAGTTGTACCTTGTTTGATTTGTTGTTGTTGTTTGGCTTGAAGTTGTTTCCGACTTAGGGCGACCATAAAGCGAACCTATCCTGGGGGTTTCTCTTGGCCAGATTTGTTCAGAGGCTGAGGCTGAGAGAGTGTGACTCGCCCCTGAGGCTGAGAGAGTGTGACTCGCCTACGCTTACCCAGTGGGTTTTAGGGCTGAACGGGGGGGGGGAGGAATCGAACCCAGGTCTCTCCAGAGTCGTGATCCAACGCTCAAACCAGTACTCCAGGCTGACTTTGGAATTGAGGAAAGGCAAGATGAGAGGGAGGCAGGGAGCCAACCAGGATATGTCCTCCATTCCCACCTTCTGTCCAGGAGGGAATTCCAAAAGGTCCTACATTTGGAGCATGACTAAGAAGCATGAATGCCTGTACTTCTAGGAGTGTGTTTGACCTTTGAGTTGGGCATATCCTCCATGTTCAGCTTAACTAAGAAGCAAGAAATACATATTTCTAGAAGTGTTTTGACCTTTGAGTTGGGGATGTCTTCCATTTATCTGGCAAGTCCTCCATTTTGAGCCTAAGAAGCAGGAATTTTATATTTCTAGGAGTGTGTTTGACGTTGAAGTTGGGGATGTCCTCCATTTTTCTGGCAGGTCCTCCATTTTGAGCTTAACTCAGAAGCAGGAATTTTATATTTCTAGGGGTGAGTTGGTCACGTCCTCCCTTCTTCTTGTTACGCCCTCCATTTTGAGCCTAAGAAGCAGGGGTGAGTTGGTCACGTCCTCCCTTTTTCTTGTTACGTCCTCCATTTCGAGCTGGACTAAGCAGCAGGGATTTCCAGTTCTAGGGGTGTCTTGAACTTTTATGTTGGAATGACCTCCCTTTTCCCTGAATGCCCTCCATTTTTTGAGGCGAGGACATGTTTTTCCCCCTGGGAGACGAGGCCACCCTTCCTCACTCGCAGTCGATGGGTGTTGCAGCGTCTCTTTCGCGAAGCGGGTGAGCGAAGGAGGGCGCGCATGCGCAGAGCCGCTCTCTGCCTGGGATTGCAAGGACTTTGTCCTCAGATGACTCGGCGGCCGCCTCCTCTTTGCGCCTCTCGCTCTTTCTCGGCTCTTCTTGCCTTGGCTGATGATATAACTTCTTTTTTTCTTTGCTTTTCCCTTTTTTGACTTCTCCAGAGAATGGTTCTTGATCTCGCTTGTTCTGCCGGGGAGAATAGACTATTGCACCCCCAAATCCACAAAACAGGGCTCCTACTTCTTCTATGGGATCAACCCCAATGCACCCAAGGGACTTGTTGCAAGCTTTCCAGTTTTATTATTTTTAAGCCCATTTCTCCCGAGGATCCGCTGACAGTCAGGGTGACCAGCTGTCCTCACCGCCAAGGAGGACCAGGCCCCGCCAAATGGAGGACACTCAAGGGGGGGGGAAAGGGAGGACGTTTGCAAAAGAACAGCTAGAAACTAGAAGGATAAATCCATGACACTTAGGCATGCGCAAAATGGAGGACCTTTTGGAATTCATGTAGATGTAGGACATGTCCTGGAAAAGGAGGACGTCCGGCCACTCCTGGTTCGGAGTGACCAGAGGTTCTAACCTCAAAGGAGGACCGGGCACTGCAAAATGGAGGACCTTCCAACATCAAAGCGGGAAATACTCCTAGAAGTATCCATTCCTGCTTTCTAATCCTGCTCGAAATGGAGGACTTTTTGGAATTCCTCCTTGACAGAAGGTGGGAATGGAGGACAGGTCCTGAAAAAGGAGGGCCTCTGGTCCCCCTGTGGCTGATAGTTTTTATCCGGAGGCGCCCCGTGTGGCTTCTGGGAAGTTCGGACTAAAGGCCGGAGCGGATAAGACGCCCGGGCAGAGCTGTATAAGAAGGAAATAGCAGTCTGGGTAGATAGATAGATAGACAGATAGATAGACAGATAGATAGACAGATAGATAGATAGATAGATAGATAGATAGACAAATATAGATATAATATTATATTATGTAGTATATAATTGTAGTGACACCGTAGCTAACATTGCTTAGCACTGCCCACAAGGAAGTGTAGGTGGCCCTCCTTGTGTAACCCCATCACCTAGTAAACCCTATGATGAGATAGATAGTACTATAGCATTAAATGATAGATAGATAGATAGATAGATAGATAGATAGAGTACTATAGTATATAGTACTAAAGTACTATAGTTTGCATTGCAAACATCGTGGAAGTAGGTGTGACTTTATCTCACCTTTCCTACATGAACACAATTAGCTATTTTTATGGTGAATTTTATCCTTGTAAGCCCTTTTTGAGATGGGGGGGTGTAGGTATGTATTTATGTGTGTGTGGGTGTGTATAGACACACACACACACACACACACACACACATATATGCATACACACACATGCTTACACACACATATACATATACACACATATATAAACACATACACATACGTATACACACACACATATACGTATACATATATTCAGTAAATATATATACATACACAGACATGCATACACACACACACACACATATACAGTATACACACACACACATATATATGCATACATACACATACATACGTACACACGCATACACACACACATACACACACACACACAAAGCCCTGTATCTCAAAAAGGGCTTACAAGGATAAAATCCACTATAAAAATAGCAAATTGTCATCATGTAGGAAAGGCGAGATAAAGTCGCACCTTCTTCCACGATGTTTCAATGGGACTTACTCCCAGGAAACTGTATATATAGGATATAGGATTGCAGTCTCCAAAGCATAGCAGCAATCGGCATTCCCCTCGGAGGAAGAAGACCCATTGAAAGCAATGAGGCTTACTTCTGATTAGACTCTATAGGATTGCATCGAGATTTCTGGTGAAATTCATGGTGTTGTGTTGCTTTTTTTTTAATGCTTAAT